GTTTTACTGTAAACCTTACTGTTTTACAGTAAACCTTACTGTTTTACTGTAAACCTTACTGTTTTACTGTAAACCTTACTGTTTTACTGTAAACCTTACTGTTTTACAGTAAACCTTACTGTTTTACTGTAGCCTAGTTTTATTCCAGCCCTGTGATGGACTTGCGACCTGTCCAGGGTGTACCCCGCCCCTCGCACTGTGACTGCTGGATATGGGCACCAGTGACCCACGCGACCCTGAAAAGGAAGAAGCGTGTACAGAAAATGGATGGATAGTTTTATTCCTAGCATCTACGCTAACTGAATATACAGCACTCTACTGCAGTCAGTCACACATACATTTATCATTTTATGTGTCAAGTTGGATGCTTGTTTTCTTTCAGTTTTTTTTTTCAATTTCATTTCAATTCAAAAATTTATTCATTTCATTAAAAATCACTATATACAATAATAAAAATAAACCAAAAATATAAACAAATCAAAATAAAATGAAAGGTAGCAGAAGAAGAATAAATCTTATTATGTCTGCCCCTTTTCGAAATATATTCAAACAAAACATAATAATAATAAACTTTAGAAAAGACAACGACTGGTAGTAAGATCTCCATATAGGTATTTATTGTGCAGGTTTATGTGACACAAAATATTATATCACTAATATATATATATCACATGACAAACTGTTCAAGTAAAAAAAGTGCTCTGATTTTTTAGCCTTTTTTTGCATGTTTGTTTTTTGTAAGGTTTTGCCTGGTAGAGCAGTGATTTTTTAAATTTATTGGTATTATTTTGTTTGTTTTCAATTCATAAACTATCAGCAATGGTAATTTGCAACATTAATACTGATTGATGTAAACACATAGTGCTAATAAGGTAAATATGCAAGACATAAACAGGAAAAGCTTTGTGTTAAAATAGAAAGAAAGTGTTTGAACTGTGAAATGTCACACAGCTCTTTAAATCTGGCCTGACGTCGTTTCATTAAGCTGATCCTCAGTTTGCTCCCGGGCCAATTAGTGTCACGCTCCCAGGTTTTTCAGCCAGTCATGTGAAGCTTCTTGTTTGTCTGGCAGCCAGGAACAGAGGCTGTCAAACCTTTTAGAAAAGGAGGATTAAATTGATTACCTCTTAATTTTATTGTTTTTTTCTTCTTGCTGAGTCAGTTAATTTGCTCAATAACACGCTTCTTCTGTAGTAAACCTTCTGTTTGTTACATTTTGTTTCATTTTGTTTCAATTTGTTTAAGAGGAACCAAGAGCTAGACAAGGAAGAGAAGCCAACTCAGAGAGAGGCACTTGGAGGAAAAGCAGCTAAACAGAGGGAGGGAGTTGTGTCTAGGTCAGGGTGTCCTGACTCTGTCAGCGCAGCTGATTTTATATTATGTTGTTTGGGTGAACGCCATGCAGCAGGAACCACAGTTTAGGCCTGAGTGAGTCTCTCTCTTGCTCTGTGTGTGAGAGAGAGAGTAGGTGTACTTCTGGATTTTTCTCTGTCTGCAAGTCTGTAACTTAACATTTAACTTTATTGCCTCAGGGCTTAAAAACAAAGCTTATAACCATCATTTCCACACATAATGAAATTTTATACTTTTATGTTCTGTAATTTCTTCTTTTCTTAGCTTTTTTGTTATTTGTCAACCTTAACATTAACAATGTTTCTTTTAAATCAATTAATAGACTAAAGCTTAACGACGATTTACCGGTCGATCTACGTTCCTACCCTCATCTATGGTCATGAGCTTTGTTTGGGTCATGAACAAAAGAACGAGGTCCCGGATACAAGCGGCCGAAATGGGTTTCCTCCGCAGGGTGGCTGGGCTCTCCCTTAGAGATTGGGTGAGAAGCTCGGTCATCCGGGAGGGACAGAGTAGAGCCGCTGCTCCTCCACGTCGAGAGGAGCCAGTTGAGGTGGCTCGGGCATCTGGTAAGGATGCCTCCTGGACGCCTCCCTGGTGAGGTATTCCGGGCACGTCCCACCGGGAGGAGGCCCCGAGGAAGACCCAGGACACGCTGGAGGGACTATGTCTCTCGGCTGGCCTGGGAACGCCTTGGAGTTCCCCCGGAGGAGCTGGAAGAAGTGGCTGGGGAGAGGGAGGTCTGGGCCTCCCTTCTGAAGCTGCTGCCCCCGCGACCCGACCCCGGATAGGCGGAAGAAAATGGATGGATGGATTGATGGATGGATGGATGGATGGATAGACTAAAGCAGGGCTATTCAACTTGCAGCCCGCGGGCCAGATGTGGCCCGCGAGTGACCAAAGTTCGGTCTGCCAATTGGTTCATTCATCTCTTAAACCCAAACTCCCAGTTTTCTACTTTAATTAGTCTCAGTTCTTTTAGTTCAACATAGACATGTTTGGTATCTACAGAAACATCAGAATCTTGGCTAGAAGCTGGTAAAAACCATTTCTAAAAACACTCAAGACAGTTAAAACTACAAGCAGTTGAAGATAAAAGGATGAAAGTGAAAATAAATTTGTTTTAAAAATTTGGCCAGTCAGAAATGTCAAAATAATATTTGTGTCAAATAAGAGGCAGAATTTGTTCTTTTTGTTTTTGATATTGTTTAATTATCACTACTTTTATAGGGTTCTGTATGTTGTATTCATGATTAAATGCAGCAAAATAAACTAATTCAAAGGTAACAGATCTTTGTAATACTTGGTTTATTTACATAATAACTTTAATTGCTGGATGTTCGGCCCCTCAGCTGTTGACCGGCAGTAACTGTGGCCCCTGGAGTAATTTAGATGAATAGCCCTGGACTAAAGCTTCCTCAACTAGCTGATCAAAATGCATTTAATCTGTTTGCTTTGTCTTTAAACACCAATATCCATTATCAAATGTTAGGGTAAAACAAACAAAACTAATCAACTAACTTTGTTTATCTAAATCACAGTGATTGTGACTTTTATGCAGGACACCAATGGGGAACTCGTACGCAGGCCAGCTGCGGAGTACGCGCTTTGAGGAGGTCCTGCATAGCTCCATAGAGGCATCACTGAGGTCCAGCACTATAGTGCCGCGGCCTGTCTTCACACAGCTGTATCTGGAGACAGAACAGTCACTGACACAGGATGGTGAGTTGCATAAATCTGCACGTGAAGTGATTTTATCATCATGTTCAGTTTGAGTCCCAACTTAGCTACTGTATCTCACATTGCTCCTGAATCCCGATACAAACATGACGCTCATAGTTTCTTCACTTCCACAGAAATCATCTTTAAGGCGTAAAACGCTTTTATCTTTTTTCGTACATTGTTTTTAATTCTCTGACAGGCCGTGCATTGAACGAAGATGAAGATGATGACAATGGCTCAGAGTCCAACAGTCCGCCAGTTCCATACCAGATGAAGCCACCACCTGAGGGATGCTGCACCACAGATGGCACGTGCACAAACAAACGTCATCATTTGTCCCAAATGTAGCAGCCGAATTCTTTTTAAAAAGTACTCTGTCCTCATCTACCTACCAGGTTTTTGTCAGGCTGGGAAGGATCTGCGTCTGTCCTCCCTTTCATCAGAATCCTTGGATGTCCCACCTGGATTCATGCTGGTCGGGGTAAAGTCTCCCTCCTTGTCAGACAACCTGTTGGTGTGCGCTGTCGACCGCCGCTTCCTGCCAGATGAACGGGGTTGCAACGCCCTGCTAGGTGAGACAAGCAGAAAATATGTTGGGGTTTTATTAAGACTAAATGAAACAGTGTCTGTATATTTGCTTTTTGATTTAGTTCAAATCAAAAAGCATCCCTGTAGGGATTCACAAAACCTTTGCATTTACAACCATGTTGTGTCTCTCTGTTCTTGTAGGGTTTTCAGGAAATTGTATGGGCTGTGGAGAGAAAGGTTTTCGTTACTTCACAGAGTTCTCCAACCACATTAACCTGAAGCTCAGCACACAGCCTAAGAAGCAGAAGCACTTAAAGTACCATCTCTACAGAAGCAACCAGGGAGTCCTGGTTAAAGGTGCTCCCATCAGCTGGAAGGGAAACGGTGAGCTGGAGTTGCTTCTACAGAAATGAAATCACAGTCATAGCAAATTTTCTAGTTTCCTCAAAATGGTTTCAGATTTATCATTTAGGCAATCATTTTGCTGACTTATTTAAGATAAAATTATGCTTTTATAGTAAAATTTTAAATGTAAAGATTATATAACCCTAGACTTAAAAGTGTGCCACCATGGGTACATTTAATATTCCATTTTAAAATTAAGTAATTAAGTAATAGTACAGTATTACTTTTAAAGCCGAAGCTAAATCAATCAAGTAACTGTTACCTTCAATTGTTTTGAAGACGCTGTACATATCAAAAATAATTTGACTTTGCATCATAGCCTATCTAAACGCTTCAATTTGTCTCTGTCTCTTTAAGAACATCCTTCTGTTTCTGACACTCCCACTTCAGCATGTTTTCACAACAATGCATCGGGGGAAGGGGGTGCTCTGTGGGGAGGGAGCTCAGCTGCAGACTGATGCTGCATTCCAGTTGTATCGGAACTCGAAATTCTGAAGCCGGACTGACATCAGTTCCGAGCTGATAGCGTTCCAGTTTCAAACATCGGAAAAAGCGTTTCTATTATTTTTGCTCTGTAACAAAACGTAAAATAATAGTGCTCTACGAGGTATTTTGAGTGTACAAACAGTGTTAAAACATATATTTTAACTATCACTATAAAGCACTAAGAGTACGTCTGACGTAATGTAAAATAAACAACACAGAAGCCGCGTTGTTTACATGCCAAACTAGCAATGTTAGCGGTTAGCTCGGACAAGCATGCTAGTACGCTACATACATTAAACAAATATAAAAAGGGAAAATAAACAAACAAATTACACTCGTTTTTATTCTGCCTCCTCTCTTCTCACTTTCTGTCTTTTAAATATTGGGGATGGTGCTTGTGTGCGTTTGATTACAGCTCAACATTAGCCGTTAGCTTAGAGAAACATGCGCGCAGCAGCCATGTTGAAATGATGACGTAATGCATGCTCGGGCTGCTCGGGTATGGTTTGGATGCGCCGACCTCTCGACTCGAAACTACGACTTCAGGGGGCGTTCCAGTTGAAAAATAGTACTCGGAGGCTCGAAGCTACGACTTCCGAGGACAACTGGAACTAGGGCTGTGTATTGGCAAGAATTTGGCGATACGATACATATCATGACAGAGAGGTCACGTTACGATATATCCCGATATATTGCAATACTATAAGCAAGGCGATATATTGCGAATTTTTGTCCAAATATTATATTAAATAAAAACCTCTTACAGGGGAAAAAAACGAAAAACCAAAATTCATTGTCTCAGAAAATTCTAATATTACATAGACATACTTTTGATACATTTAGCTGTGTTCTGCTTTGTATGTATTTTATTTATTTGTTTCATATTTCTTATTTCATCCATGTTTTCAATTATTAGACTAAATTTGACAATAAATAGTTTGAAAATATATTTTTTGCAGCTTTTAGTTTTTAATATTAATTTACAATATGGTCACCCAACACTTAACAATAGCCTCTACCTCAAGAGGTAGAGGAGCCAAATGGTTGGCTCACTGCTGCCAACTAGTGGTCAGAGGCTGAACTACAACATAAAAATGAACGGCTGGCAGGAAAGTTGACATTTTAAACCTTAATAAAAAAATCGATACAGGGCTTTAGAATATCGATACAGTATCGGGAAATGGAATATCGCGATATTTCAGTGTATCGATATTTTCTTAGACCCCTAAACTGGAACGCAGTATGAGCTCCAGGGAAGAGCTTTGTATAAATAGGCAGTGCTTTGTACCAGCAAGCATTTAGGCAGCTCCAGTGGATTTCTCAAACATGCATGAATGAGTCAAAGCAACACTCTGGGTATTTTGTTTGATGAGGGAATGGCATTATAAAATAAAAAAACTGATTTTGGATAATTTCCCCCTTTGTCTGGAGAACTGCTTTCTTCATAGAGACTTCATTAAGTAAAATGTCCTCAGAGGTTTTTTTGGAGGGTCAGATGTCAATCAGACTTTCCCTACTTTAACCAGAAATGGAAAAAAGATAAATGTATTAATTTTTTTTTTATTTTCATAGAAAACATGTAAAACTCTTGTCTTGTTTGTTGCAATCTCAGAGTGTCTGGCTGTGACCTGACAAACTGGTAGTGCAACCTCATGAAGGGGTGAAAGGTGAGACTTCAGAGTTTACACAGAGGCCCCAGCCTGTAGGTCATGACATGAAGGAATATCACCTGGTGAAAAGACCTGTGCTAATGGACGTTAAGTCTTTAACCTCTATAATGCTTAACTCTAATGTCATATATTCCACCACCACCCTCAATCCCTGTTTACTCTGTCTAGTTTTTTTGTTTTTAATTCTGCTGTTTGAGATTTCTTTGACTGAGAGTGTTTGTTACCTAGTCCAAACTCAAAACTCAGCCAAGAACGAAACATAAATCCTGTGCTCATGGGTCACATTAGTGGTAAGTTGGCTGACTTATTCTTATTTGTGCCAGACCAGAATGAAACATCAACTTTTCCAAGACTTTTACTACAGTGCCAGACAAGGTGAGAGAAAGATTAGCAGACATCATGGCTGCTGCTGAAAGGAGTAAAAATAGTGTCTATTTAGCACTTCCACTTAGTTTTAAATTCCTTCCATTCCCATCATTCACTTTCTTTCTTTCTTTTTTTTTTCTCCTCTGCTGCCGGGGTTTCGCCACAGTTTCTCATGAAAAAATATGTAAATAATTTGGACTGGACATTTTCCACTTTTGCTGTTTCAACATGTATTGATCGGCAGGATATGTACAGCTGGAGATTTTCTTTGACAACATGAAATATAAGAGAGGAGGACAGGACAAGATGTAGAAAGTATGTTCTGGAAAGCACTATATTTGTACAGCAGGCTGAGAACTATTGATGGATCTCCCTGAGGACTGTTTGTATGTTTACCTCCTTTCTAACTGTCTGACTGTACACACAGTATTGATGAGCGAGTGGGAAGCTCAGCTCAGCAGATAACAATTTGATGACACTTTCTCACGCGTACAGATAATTTGGCTTTTAGTTTACTCGTGAACTCACCTTTTTAGTCTTCTGATTCTTTCTGCAGGAGTTTTGAAGATTTTGTGTTGATAGATGGCAAATTTGTTGTGTTTTTCAGATGGCAGGATGAGGCAAATAAGGTCAAGTCTCTCAGAAGGACACTTGGCTTCAGACGTACAGCCACCAAACCCTGCACTGGCTCACCCATTACACACACCTAGTAGCTGCACAGGTTTGGAAAAGAATCGCACACTAAGACATTTAGCTAAACTTCAAATTCTGAACATAAAGAAGTGAGATTTGATAGTTTGATTACAGGACTGCTTAAAATTATCATCAGTTTAAACGTTTGCATGCATTCAGCATTGTATTGTCAATGTGCAGAAGAGAGAATCCTTTTGGAAGTTTTTAACATTCATGGGTAACTTTTGCATTTTTTTATTTCCACATTTTTAAGGATCGTATGTGGAGCCACAAGCAGCTGAGGTCCTACACACGCTAAGTAACGGCAGCCATGCAGTTCCCTCCGTTTCTCAGCCACCTTTAAATCAGTCAGTGCCTGGAAGATCCACAGCTACAGGTATGTATGTCTATGTTTTTAATAGACTGACACATTTGATTTTATTTCCGTTCGTATGTATTTATTCATGTAGATAAGCTGCTTTAAAATACGCTGTATTCAGAGGAGTTTTTCAGCGTTTTAGTTATATTTCAGCCACAGTACCAGGTTAAATATTTTCCACTTGTTTTTTCAAACTGATAAAATTCCAGTAGAGAAATGTCCTGATGCATCTCAGTAATCCAGGTAAAAAAATCAAAGGAAAAAAAATTTGACGATAGCCATGTGATGTGAGTATCAGTCACATGGAGGCAGGACTCAAAAGCCTGAATTTTGCCTGAAACTCTCAGACTGAAGAAGTCTCTTGGAAGAGAGACGAAACGTTTCATTAAAGAAGAACCCGTCCAGAGGACCTATACAATTTTTTTTCCTCCAGTAGAGAAAGTTTTAATCTTACAAGAATCATTAATTACAAATTGGTGCATTTGTATTATCATAATTCCCAGCATTTTGATCCAATAAACATATATTTTTAGATAAGAAACCTAAACTCATCACGAAAATATAGCACTTAAGTTTAAATTTCTTAACTGAAGCTTTGCTTGCTGTTACCTGACTCTTTTTTTGAACTTGCAAACATAATCAGTTTGTGTTTGTGGGCATTAAGTCCCTTCTTTGTGTGTCTGTGTGCATATATGTGTGTGTGTGTGCATTAAAAGTACACAGGACACAGCCAGCTGCATTGTCTGTTGGGGGTTACCCATTGTTTTCCCGGCTTTCATTTGTCAACACTTGGAGCAGTAAACTTCCACCTCTCTTGTCTCCTCTGTCTGCCTCTCCCTCCCACTGCCTCCTCTATAAACCAGGGCTGTAAAATTCCCTCATCGTCTCATCTTTTTTTTCTCTGCTTTATCTCTGAAGGAAGCTCTTCCTTCCTGTCAGTTTTTTTTTCTTTCATTGCCCTTTTAACAAGTAGATCTTTTATGTGTCTCCATTATTACTGTATTTTAACAGATACTTGTGAGGGAAAGGCAGAAAACTGCATGACTAAAATACAACTCCTTTGCATTACATTATCTACAATAATCCCCCCAAAAACACCTTTTAGTGCCTGTGTTAATTTGTGACGTATTAAGATGAGAACAGTGATTCCTGAGCTTCTCAGGCAATCACTTTTGTGGAAGATCAAAGCTATTTTTTTTTCTCAGCAACTTCTGAGCAGCTGAGGAAAATCAGAAAATGACAGAACAAAGACTATAAGTCGTAATGTCGAAACTTTATCTTAATCTACAATGTAATTGTGTTTTTTTATTTAATAGGGCCCCACGCAAATGCTGCCCCTCCAAAGAAGAGACACAAAGGCTGGTCACCCAAATCCTCTGTCAGCAGTCTGACAGAAAGCACCATGAAATCAGCGCCATCATCATTAGCCTTATCAACATTATCAGTGTCTTCTGTCAGTCCCAATGGAGCCAGATCAGGTATCCATACACATATTATTTGTATGTATATACAGTATATACATATGTATGCGTGTTTGGTCAGATATCCTTTGTTTTTATGCTAAAATCAAAGTTTATTTACCCTTTATGCTCAGAGAGTGCAGTCCTTCAGAGTTCATCACGAGGATCCTTAACCCCACTGTCACCACCAGACTTTTTAACAGTGCCTGATCAGCTGTTACAAACCTGCAAACTGCAACCTGTCATATTTAGAGGTTAGAAGATCTGTTGTATTTTCACGAAACTGCACGTTTCTTTTGTACCTGTAACAGATTAAACGAATGGTATTTTGGTTTTGTTGCACACCTTGTAAGACCTCATTTTGTAATAACAGTGCATTATGTAATAATGTAATAAAATCAGGCTTCAAAATGTAATAAACTCACGCTAAAACTGCATTATGTAATAATTGACGCAAAATGTAATAAAAGTCTTCAACGCATTATGAAATAATGTTATTACATTTTGCTGCAATTATTACAAAATGTGGTGGCGTAACAATCTGGTGCATTATGTAATAAACAATCAAAAACCAATATTTCTGTTCATCCTTATCAATTTACTTATAATAACTGTCATGTTGCATGTACTACATAATTAAATCTTTATAACTTTGGTCAATAAACACCAAACTTCTCATCTTTTATTTGCATTTTCAGATTTACTGTCCTGATCCCTGTTACAGAAATTATTCCACTTTGTAAACAACCCTCAAAATATATCTAAATGTTAGTTGTACATACATGTCAACCCCTTCAGACGTTTACCTGTATCATAAGCCTTAAAAATCTGTAATTTCTGTAAAAAAAAATCTATTAATAACACGGGAGGGGGGCACGGTGCAGGCGGACTGTCGGCTTCTGAACCAAAAGGAACTGAGGGTGGAAGAACTTGTTTCTAGCAATAGAGTGAGTTGGAAGTGGATATTTGATGTTAATAATTGTTTTTAACGTCCTACAGGTTCTGACATGTTGAATAAATTAGAAACTAAGTTTTTGAAAGATTCCATAAAACATGAAAAAATCTGTGAGATTGCTCTCTACATCCATATACACAAGAATTTGACTGAAAATGTAAATAAAAGATGAGAAGTTTGGTGTTTATTGACCGAAGTTATAAAGATTTAATTATGTAGTATTTGCAACATGACAGTTATTACAATTATATTGGTTAGGATGGACAGAAATACTGGTTTTTGATTGTTTATTACATAATGCAGCAAATTATTACACCACCACATTTTGTAAAAATTGCCGCAAAATGTAATAATGTTATTACATAATGCGTTAAATACTTTTATTATATTTTGTGTCAATTATTACATAATGTGGTTATAGTGTGAGTTTATTACATTTTGAAGCCTGATTTTAATACATTATTACATAATATGTTGTAATTTTAAATGCGGTCTTACACACCTCTTCCTTACACAGGTCATGGCCCTCTTCCTCAGCTCACAGGCAACATAAGTGATGTACTTGTCAGTTCTCTGCTCCAGAGTTGTTACATGAGCTCACAAACACTCCCCAGAGTCTACCAGCATTATGGACCGTCACCCATTCAGCCGCTGTCTGCCGAGATGCAGATTCTGCTCACTGTTTACTACCTTGTTCAGCTAGGTCAGTGCAAAACCTTCTGTCTAAGTTATACAGTATATATTCCTTTATTCTTGTAGTACCAATAAGTTGGATTTAACTTTTTTAAAGGGATCCCGGATTAGTTGTAACATTAGACTATTTGATAAACATATATTTTAACTGTAAAATAAAGACTGTAAAAATACTGTAGGATGTTTAGTTTTTATAATTTTTAAACTAAAAGTTTAAAAATATATTACACAGACAGGGCCATTTTATTTACACACAAAGCATTCTGGGTAAATGATGACGTGGATAGGTCATCAGTGCGAGGCTGCTAGCGAGCTATATCCACCCTGAAGGTTAATCTTGGACAATATCTGATGATCGACTCTTTTAAATGAAACCAGAGAGCGTTGACAGAGAGGAGAAGGTAGAAATGACTCAGCCTGGAACTGAAAATATACTGTAGATGGAGGACAACAGAGCTGCTTCATGGAAGAAGAATCTCAGCTTAGCCTGTTAGCTTTAGCGTTAGCCCCGATGCTATCACCATATAAATGTATTAGCTCAACGCCACATATTCTCCTCCCGTCACTGAGGTCCTCCATCCACATGACAGAGAGGGGAACACAAAAATGACTCAGGCTGCAACTGAAAATATGGATGGAGGACCTCAGTTTAGCTTGTTTGTCGCGCTAGCACCGAGCTAATACATATAAATCAATATAGCGTTGGAGCTAACGCTAAAGCTAACAGGCTAAGCTGAGGTTCTTCTTCCATGAAGCAGCTCTGTTGTCCTCCATCCATATTTTCAGTTCCAGGCTGAGTCATTTCTACCTTCTCCTCTCTGTCAACGCTCTCTGGTTTCATTTAAAAGAGTCGATCATCAGATATTGTCCAAGATTAACGTTCAGGGTGGATATAGCTCGCTCACACAGAGGACCTATCCACATCATCATTTACCCAGAATGCTTTGCGTGTAAATAAAATGGCTCCGTACGTGTTAAAATATATATTTAAAAATTTACAAAACGAAACAGCCTACAGTATTTTTACAGTCTTTATTTTACAGTTAAAATATATGTTTATCAAATAAAGTCTAATGTTACAACTAATTGGGGATCCTTTAAGAAATAAAAAGTAAAGAATTTTGCCGTCCATTTTACTTAACTCAAGTTCATCAAATCATATTATTTGTAACTATTATAAGGTGTTTTAAATAAATAAGAAAATTAAGTTATCAGTATGTACATGTTTGTTTTTTCTCTCCCAGGACCTGAGCAGGTGCCTCTGATTGAAGACTTGGAGCAGATATTCATGAGGTCATGGAGGGAATCCCACCTCAGCGAGATCCGACAGTTTCAGCAATCTCAAACAGCAGGAACCCAAGGAAGACACTATGCCACAGAGGTCAGACATGACAAGAAAAAAGAACTAAGAATAATAAGAAAACACAAAGCTAATAAACACTGCACGACAAATAAATAGTATCATTTTTAGGCAGCTTGTTGCACTAAATTAATTAAAATGTAACTAATCAAGTGACCAGATTGCTAAATTTGATTGTCTCCAGACCCCTTCTGCCTTGCCAGGGCTTCCCCAGCATCTCTCTTCACCTCCACCCAATCAACAACCCCTGACCCCCAGTCAGCTGCCCTGGCTCGCCCAGCTCGCTGCGTCATCCTGTGGAGAAGGTGTGGTGGTGATGGGAGAAGAAGTCAAATCTTTGGCTCAAGGCCTTCAGCAAATGTTTACCAGGTTGATGGAAGGACGGCTTGAAAACACAAACTATGTGGTCGTCATCGTCACTTCACCCGGACAGGAAACTCAATCCTGTGTCGTGGTAACAGGTAAAAAATAAAATTATAAATACACCGAGTCTGAGGTTAAATTCTCACCTGTAATTGTAAAGTCCCAAACTCTTGATATTGTGTGTCTTTGTGGCCATGTTGCAGGTAAACATCAGTGCCGTGCCTTAGCAGAGAGTATGTTTTCTCCTGGGGAGGGACTGAAAGAAATTAGCCACCAGATTTACACAGGAGCGGCCCAGGAACTTATACTGTACTGCAATTCTCTCGGACAAGGTAAGTGCAAATGCTTTAAGCGTGTTTATGTGTGTTTTAGTCGGAAATACTTAACATGTTTGTTTGATTTTTTTTTTCTCAGATGGTAATATGGACTCTCTCCTGGACAGTATCAGTGTGGACGCAAATGAGCCATCCCCCCCATCCTGCAGCCAGGAGTTAGCTGAAGAAAGGAATCGTAATACAACACACAGCCCAAAAGATTCACAAACACAAAGTTTAAAAGACACGTCCAGCCCTAAAGTGACAACTTCAAGTCCCAAAGAGACTTGCTCAGGTAAGATAAAAATAAACACAGCTAAGATTTCAGACTCATTTTAAGTAAACCAATGCTCAGCAAAGATACTGGAAAAAAAAGTAGGTCTCTTATTATTGAAATTGAAGGTTATAAAACTGATTATTTTTTTCAAAAACATACAAAAGAGATTGACTTATTACTAATAGACCTGTGAATTACAGTGTAGAGCAGGCATGGGCAATCCGGGTCCTGGAGGGCCGCAGCCCTGCATGTTTTACTTGTTCCTCCGCTCCAACACACCTGATATGAAGGAATAGATGATTATCAGGCTTCTGCTGTACGGAGGACCAAAACTGACAGGAATAAAAGCAGAATTATATGAACCACTAAATAAAATGCACCAACTAAATTAAAAAAGGAGAACTTTAAATCCTGCTTTATATTTTATTTGACTTTCATATTTATTTTTCCAGGTTAGTTCCAACAAATTAGTCTACATATTTGAACACAATTTAAATTTTACTTTTTTAAAATATATATTGTTTTTCCTTTTACTTCTACATGCATTTGTGTGTCTTCAATGTTTATACTTAACTATTTTGATGTGTTTTTCTAACAAGTCTTTTTATTTCTATGTGTTGCATGCTTGTGCTGCCTCGGTTTAGCTAAAAGTTTAGTTAAAAACAAAGGCAAGGAGGAAAACATTACCTGTGCATTTATTTTTAACTAAACTTTAAGCTAAACTGCAGCAGCACAAGCAAGCAACATAGAAATAAAGACTTGTTGGACAAAATTATAAAAATAATTCAATTTAAGCATTCAAGAGACACATGTACAAGTAAAAGTAGAAACAATACAAATTAAAAAAAACAGTAACATTTAAATTTTGTGTTCAAACATATAGACTAATTTATTGGAACTAAGCTTGAAAAATAAATATGAAGGTCAATTAAATTATAAAATATGAGGTAAAGTTCTCTTTTTTAATTTATTTGGTGCATTTTAAATGTATTTATTTATTTAAAGGTTCATTTATCTATTTCTGCTTTTATTTCTAATTATGTCAGTGTCGGTCCTCCATACTGCAGAACTTGGAAGAGGTAGTTCAGTGACTGAATCAGGTGTGTTGGAGCAGGGGAACATGTAAAACATGTAGGGCTGCGGCCCTCCAGGACCAGGATTGCCCACCCCTGGTGTAGAGTATAGAAAATATTAATTGTTATGGAATAGATTTGTAATTAAGCAAAGAATGCAATTACTTTGGCAAGGTGTGCAATTTTCCTTCTCATTAGAGACTGAACACCCCTAAAGGATAGGGCTGGGCATAATCGTATCGTGTGCAATTAATCGTCAGAAAAACATTAATCGATTATTTTTTTGGAACTTGACGATTAATTCGATTAATGCCACCAGGCAGATTGACTGGATATTTCCCTGGTTGGTCTGCTCAATGCTCCTCTCTGCTTCAAATATGATGAACATTTAAAAAAAAAGTTCCGTAATTTATTTATCTATCAACAAAATTTAAAATTTGATGTATAGCCCGAAGTCTGTAATTTTGACAATTTGGAACAGATATTTATGAAGAGCAAATATTTCCCACTAAATTGGTCATGTGACTACAAAATAAGGGTGTCCAGGGACTCCAGGGGATTAATCGTCAAATTAATCATTATAGGCTAAATACCACAATTAATTGTGATTAATTTTTTTGCCAATATTGCCCAACCCTACTAAAGGAATTATCTTGAAATCTGTAATATAATGTAAAATGTACATTAAGTTTGTTCTGTCAAAAGACCCTTTTTTTACACATTTGCCCTGAGATGACATTTGTTGTGAGCAGATGCTAAATAAATAAACTGAATTCAGTTGAACAGAATTTTAGCTTCGCCATATCAACTTTTAACCCACTTAAATATTCTCAAAGTGAAACTTTCTGCACGTCTTATGTACCATGTTTCTCGTTTAATCAGACAATCATTAACCATCTGAATTTGTGTGTGTGTGTGTGTAGAATATACTGTAGAATGGCGTGAGGTCCGTCCCGTCCAGCTGGCAGTAGCCAGAAAGCTGCTGTCCCACGTGTGTGCTATAGCAGACTCCAGCACACAGAACCTTGACCTTGGCTCCTTTAACAGGGTCAGCTTCCTCATCCTGGTCCCACCTTCTGAGGTCACCTTTCAGCAGACAGTTTTCCATCTCTGGAACTCTGGTGAGTGAAATGAAATAGTCAATCATTCAGTTAATTGGTGACTTTTTTTTCTTTATATTTTTTTCTTAAGCCATGTCAGTAGAAAGCAGAACTGAATATTAGTTTCTTAGTTTCTTCATCATCAGTGACTTTTTTTAAGAAGAAAAAGAAAGAGAAGGGAAAAAAAGTGAAATATGTGACCCATCATATCGAAATGAGGATTAAGTCAAATTTGGTCAAAATGACCTCATTACATTTTCAGATTATTGGCTTTAAAAGCTACATTTTGACACCTGGATCATTCTGATATCATAATTAAATCCATAAATATGACTTAATTTGTCTTGTTGGTTACAATAATACATAAATAGATGGTCTGAATCCTAATTTTATGTCATTTTACTGAGGGATTTTTGATGTCCTTATAAAGAGAAAATCTCAAGTTATATTTGAATATTGAGATTCCCCAGCTAAAAAGAAACACAGCTTTGCTAACTCACAGAGAAAATCTCAAAATTTTAAGGCGTTTTTCTTCAAAATCAGTTCTTTTGTTGCCACTGCTCAAAAAAGTGCTTCAAAATTTTGTTTTATGATTATATTTCAGACAGTTCATTCAATTGATACATTAATAAGGCTTTTATTCATTATATTTTGACAAAATGCAATTTTCTTAACATTTTAATCAAAACCCTGTATTTGCCTATTCCTCCATTTACAACTTTTGGACTTAATCCTCATTTCGATGTGATGGGTCACTAATGGGAAAGAGTGAAAGAGAAATTAGAAGATATGTGAAATATATATCGAGAAAACAAAAAACAGCACACCCGACATCTTGGCTGCACACCTACAGAAACAAAGATAACAAAAACACAGCAACAAAAATGCATATCTATATAATTATAATGATTATAGCCTTGCTGAAAGGTGTGTGTATATACACTCCTGATTAAAATCTTAAGACCAGTCAAAAAAGTGCAAGAATTTACCT